GTGTGTGTGTGTGTTTGTGTGAGTGTGTCTGTGTGAGTGTTTGTGTGAGTGTTTGTGTTTGTGTGTATGTATGTGTGTGTGTGGTGTGTGTGTGTGTGTGTGTGTGTGTGTTTGTGTGTGTGTCTGTTTTTGTGTGTGTGTGTGTGTGTGTGTGTGTGTGTGTGTGTGTGCACGTGTGTGTGTGTGTGTGTGTGTTGTTGTGTGTGTAGTGTGTGTGTGTGTGTGTTTTGTTTGTGTGTGTGTGTGTGTGTATATGTGTGTGTGTGTTGTGTGTGTGAGTGTGTGTGTGTGTGTGTGTGTGTGTGTGGGTGTGTGTGTGTGTGTGTGCACGTGGTGTGTGTGTGTATGTGTGTGTTTGTGTCTGTGTGTGTGTGAAGGAGTCTGTGTGTGTGTGTGAATGTGTCTCTGCATGTGTGTAAATGAGTGGGTGGGTGACTGTGTAACTTATAATGTCCTATATCCATGCATATTTGTGTAAAGAACAAATACTTCACATGATAGTCAGCACATATCCTGATGAATATTTTATATTTACCATCCTGTTCAATGTCCAGTCAAGGTAACTGATTGTCATATGACTCACACCAAGTCAAAGTACAGGGTAGACTATTTGAGTTACAACAACTCGTGACGCAGCTCTAAAGTAGAGGAACAACATTTGAGCTCAGCAGGGCCAAGGAGAGAAGACGCCCCACAAGTCTGAAGTTCTGTCTTCAAAAGAACTTGGCACAAACCAGGAAGGTACTTGGACTTTATTTTAAGTAGTCAGCAGAGGAACATTATGTAACTTTTTTGCACTGATGCTATTCCCTGATTCCAAACAGGGCGACTAAACTACTGTAACAATAACCTGCACCACTTTGTCGTTACAGTTTTTGTGCAGATAATTTGGAACCCCGGTTGTGGCTGCCAGCTGTGAATCTTCTCTGCATCACTATAATCTAGGTATGTTTCTGTAGCAATTTCTAAACAATTTTAAAAGAAGTACTATTAAATAGGAACAGTAATTAAGATTCTTGTATGTAAAGTTTATTCATTGAGTATTCAAAGTCATGCACTCAAACAAATATTAATGTCAATTCTTTACAATGGACTGTTTCCAGGTTTGACAACCCAGCTGACGAGTCTCTAACCCAATAGTTGACGGGTGTCAGTCTTCACAGCATCAGTATCGAGGTGAGTTTGATCCTACTAACATGGTTGTATGAAGAAGTGATACGTCAACTAGAAGTGTAAAATGTAATCAATAAAAAGTAATCACGAAACATTACATTTATTTTAGTATCTTAATCCTGCACCACGACAGGTACTGCATGATGGGTAAGCCAGCAGGTGTGCTGATGTTCCTCCTGGTCATCCTTAAGGTGTTGGGAACAGCAGAAGCTGATTGCAGCTGCACAGCTTGGTTCATTTCAGTCTGTAACTGCAGATATCAGGGCCTCACCAGTGTTCCTCAGGACCTGCCGACAACCATCACATGGCTGGATTTGGGAGGGAATCAAATCACAACGTTAAGTCAGTCTGATTTCTCACGTTATAGGAGCTTAGAGACTTTATGGCTTGGTTTCAATAACATTTCTACCATCAACAGCCAGGCATTCTATCACCTGTCAAACTTGACCACATTATCGCTTTCAGGTAACAGTCTAACAATCCTCAGACCTGACATGTTTGTAGGGCTGGAAACTTGGAGGAACTTTATCTGCGCGGTAATGACATCAGTGATATTCAGGCTGGAACTTTCAATTCAACACCACAACTGAGAAGCTTGCACCTGTATAATAACAAGTTAACACCCTCAGATCTGACATGTTAACAGGGCTGGGAAACTTGACAACCTTCATCTATATGATAATGACATTACTGATATTCAGGCTGGAACTTTTGATCATACACCACAACTGAGAAAGTTTGCACCTGTCTAACAACACGTTAACACACCTCAGATCTGGCATGTTCACAGGGCTGGGAAACTTGAAGTACCTTTATCTATATGATAATGACATTACTGATATTCAGGATGGAACTTTTTAACTCAACACCACAACTGAGAAAGTTGAACCTGGGTTATAACAAGTTAACACACCTTAGATCTGACATGTTCACAGGGCTGGGAAACTTAGTGCCACTTGATTTAGACAATAATAAGATCACTGATATTCAGGCTGGAACCTTCAATTCAACACCACAACTGAGAAAGTTACACCTTCGTTATAACAAGTTACCAACCCTCAGATCTGACATGTTATCAGGGCTGGGAAACTTGGAGTACCTTTATCTATATGATAATGACATTACTGATATTCAGGCTGGAACTTTTGATCATACACCACAACTGAGGTACTTGGCCCTGCATAACAACAAATTAATAACCCTTAGATCTGGCATGTTCACAGGGCTGGGAAACTTGGGGGCCCTTTCGCTAGGCAATAATGAGATCAGTGATATTCAGGCTGGAACTTTTAACTCAACACCACAACTGAGTTACTTGTTCCTGTACAACACCCAAATTCAAACCATTCCATCCAACTCGCTGACAAGTCTGATGCAACTGAGGTTCCTGAAACTGTCTGACAACAGCATCACAACATTTCCCTTTGATGAGTTGTCAAGACTTCAAAGACTTTATCAACTTGACCTTTACAATAACCAACTGACAACCCTTCCCTCTATTGCCTATGACATACTTTCATCCATCTCTACTGTAATCATTGGCAACAACCCCTGGCAGTGTGACTGTAGGATGGTGGGCTTTAGGTTGAAAATGAACGGGTCTTATCCATTTGAAAACCAGATCACTTGTTCCCAACCTGACAACCTCCATGGGCTAGAGCTTAAACATGTCAGTCCTGAAGATCTGATTTGTGAAGATCCAACAACTGGTTTGATGTCCCCAGTTACTTCCCCTCCACCTACCACAGTAGCTACGGAGATCCCAGAACCCAGTACTGTCCAGAACTCTTCTATAACATCTTCACCTGTTTCTGGTGTCTTTTCACCTTGAAAACAAACCGACCCTGCGCTCACTTTGTCCCTACTTGGTCTTCACTTCTTGGTGCTGTTTTTGGTTCAGTAGCTGGTGCTGTCCTCATCATCAGTGGCATCTAGCCTCCGTAGCTAGGCTTATAGAACTGGGGGCTTATAGGCTGTTTTCTGATTAGCCCAGTTCAACCAGGCCGGCTATGTTGTCTATATGCAATCAGAAAATAGCACGTAAAAGCTCCCAAAGACCCTGAAGACCCCCAAACCCCCAGTTTTTGGCTTGCTATGCGGAGGCTAGGTGGCATCATTTTCACAGTCAGGCAGTGCAAAAGGAACAACAATACTCCTCCCAAACACCAAATTGTTGTTTTTGACAACACCAGGTACAGCGTGTGTACAGTAAAATACATGTAGTGAGCATGGTGAAACAGAGAAGATGTAGTCCTTAAAAGGAAACCTTGCACTGAGAACTCTAGACCCAGATGCGCATATCAAAAGCTTAGCATTTAACTTTTCATGAGACATGCTACTGGATTTTTTTAGCATTTTGCACATAATTTGTTAAAAATGATGGTAAAAAGGAAGACACAAGATTTGGTAGATACAACAAAGTTTAACCCAGAATCTGATGCATGTACATGTATACATGAATCAATGTCAGTTGTATGACTTCATATAAGAGGGCCTTTTCTTTCATTATGATCGGATAGAAGTATACAAGGTCCCTTAAAATTTTAGGTAGACTCAAACCTGCAGCACAGACTCCAAACCAACTTCCAGTGCCTAACATTTTGTGGTCTGTTGTTAGGGAGTTCCCCACACACACATGCTGACACTCAACTGTACAAACATACATAAACAAGCACAAATCACATGCAAAACAATATCTGCATATGTACATGGAAGCAACAACCAGCCTGAATATCATGAAATCAGCATGTGACATAGCTAATCTTGAGACTAAATACTTGGTCCCTACATTTGATGTCCTTAAAAATCCATTTTCTCAGCCCAGAGCACAGCAATAAGGACGTGCTCCTTACTGTGAACTGTCCAGCAGTGAATAAAGTTCTAAATGTTGAATTAACTGTTCTCCATAACCACAGAAATATCACACCAAAGTGTGTAAATTGTAGATGCATGTACATATACCTACATGTATAATTATTATAATAATTATAATGATTGTAACTTGAAAACCACAGAAATATCCCACTGTCTAGCAGCTTGAACTAATGTAAGGGACAGATACTGGGCAAATATTGAATGTTTTTAACAGATCTAGATTCAAACATTTTCTGAGTGTACTGGTTTTCAAAGTAGCATTATCAAACTGTGCAGAATGATCCAGATTACATTGTATGAATTGTACCTGAATTACATTAAGACAATATTATTTGCAACATTCACTTATTGGAAAACTAACCTTGCCAAAATGTCAACTATATCTGATCAGCCCTGTCAAAGTTTTATCAAAGTGTGCAAATATTGTAGATGCATGTGCATAATATGTATATTACCAAGATGACATGTAAAATGTTCAATCCTCACAGCTGAATTAGCTTCCAATTGATGGTAAGTGTATCTAGAAATATGTCTTGTAATTGTGATGTCAATTTTGTCAGTCTAAGAAAAAGTGAGAAGCAGAATCTATAATATACCATATAGACCTGTACAAGACTTAGTCATGATTGTAACTGGCAGCCAATATCTTACACTACCAGTCAGAACTTGGCTAGACATTATTGTCCTACTTTTATTATAATCTGGATTAGGTCAGACTACCTTCTTAATGTACTATGAGCGAGCACAATACTTCAATTCTTTGTCAGTTGACGAGTACATGAAACTTGTCTTGGTTACTGTCATACATTTGTACATGTAGCCACTGTGACAGTAGTTCTGATAGTTTGCAGTAACTTACATCAGTTAATATATAGATTAATTTTACAAAATTTAAGTAGCTGACTTTATTTCACCGTTATTTTCTACAAGTACACAAGTACACAGTCAAGCATGTACTAATGTACGTGTGTATGTAATTAGCTTTTTGTGGTGTTTATGAAGTTGATGTATCATTAATTAGTCTTTATATGATTAACTTTGTGTCATTTAGGGATGCTTTATTAATTAACTAAATTCAGTGTTTTACTCACATTAACAGGTTTTCGTGTGTGTTTGTGTGTCTGTGTAGATGTGTGTTTGTGTGTGTATGTGTGTGTGTGTGTGTGTTTGTGTGTGTGTGTGTGTTGTTTGTGTGTGTGTGTGTGTGTGTGTGTGTGTGTGTGTGTGTGTGTGTGTGTGTGTGTGTGTGTGTTGTGTGTCGTGTGTGTGTGTGTGTGTGTGTGTGTGTGTGTGTGTGTGTGTGTGTGTGTGTGTGTCTGTGTTTGTGTGTGTGTGTGTGTGTGTGTGTGTTTTGAGTGTCTGTGTGTTTGTGAAGGAGTCTGTGTGTGTGAATGTGTCTCTGCATGTGTGTAAATGAGTGGGTGGGTGACTGTGTAACTTATAATGCCCTATATGCATGCATATTTGTGTAAAGAACAAATACTGCACATGATAGTCAGCACATATTCTGATGAATATTTAATATTTTACAATCCTGTTCAATGTCCAGTCAAGGTAACTGATTGTCATATGACTCACACCAAGTCAAAGTACAGGTTAGACTATTTGAGTTACAACAACTCGTGACGCAGCTCTAAAGTAGAGGAACAACATTTGAGCTCAGCAGGGCCAAGGAGAGAAGACGCCCCACAAGTCTGAAGTTCTGTCTTCAAAGGAACTTGGCACAAACTTCAAGGTACTTTTGGACTTTTTTAGTATGCATCATGTTGGTACATTATACTTAATACTGCCCTGTTGCTATTCACTGATCCCAAAATGGAATGTCAAACTAACAATAACACTTTTTTGTTACTTCCAGGGTTTGTGCAGACAATTGGGAAAGCCTTGGTTGTAACTGACAGCTGTCCATCTTCTCTGCAGCACCATAATCTAGGTAAGTTTGGTCCCAGCGATCAACCTCGTACATCAACTAGTAAACAATTGTTAAAAGGCGGAATGAATAATCTTATATAACTTTTTACTCTTGTAGCTTTTTCCATAGAATATCCAAAATTAAATAAAAAAGTATATAGATGCTAATAAAATGATTGTTTCAATTATCATTCAGGTTCCAGGTTTGACATCCCAAGTGTACAGTTCTGGCTGGTGAATAGCTTTTATTTGTTTATTTATTTGTTTATTTACCATTTGCACGTATATTAAAAACAATTACACAATCAAATAATAATAATCAAAGAATGTGCGGGGTAGGCCAGAAACCTGGGTGGTTTTTCTAGAGGCCTACCCCAAGCAAAGATAACTTATGACAAAACATATTTGAATTAAACATCAAAATTAAACAATGAAATAATTAAACAATGATTAATTAAACAAAATCAAGACACAGAAATAATAACTGAGGTGTATAAACTAACTAAAACGAAATTAAACAAAAGTCTTATACCTGTAATTCAGGTAGATGTTACAGATTAAACTGATTAAATAATTAACATAAGAATTAACGATTAAAACAAAGTATTCACAATAACAAGGAAAACAAACAAATCAGATTGTGGATGTACTGGGATTTTGTAGGAAAAAGTTTTTAAGAAGTTTTTTAAATACAGGAGTTGACTGGCAGTTTTGTAACAGTTGGCTTAACTTATTCCAGACGATGGGGCCTCTATACGCTATTGAGAATTGTTTTTGTGTAGATTTAGTCTTGATCGGCCTTAAATGGTTATGTTGTCTCGTATTGTGCTGGTGAATGTCTGAGTTGAATGTAAAAAAAGTGTTGAATTGATCTGGTAAACTATTGGTATTATGAACGATTTTATGAACAAAAATAGGCTATTTGTAATTTGTTTAAGTCATATACATTTATGATTTTTAGTTCACGAAACAGAGGTGCTGAGTGTGCTGTGAAGTGTGTATTAGCTGCAATTCTAACAAAGTGTTTTTGTAGTTGATAGAGTGGTTTAATTGAAGTTGTGTAAGTGCTCGCCCAAATGAAATTGCAGTATGATAGATACGGATATATTAGACTGTAGTATAATGTTATAAATATTCTTCGTGGGAGGAGGGTCTTTATATTTCTAATGATGCCTATGTTCTTATGAATCTTATTGCAAATCAAATCTATATGTATCTTCCAATTAAGTTTTTCATCTATAAGTATTCCTAAAAAGCGAGTGTGGTTTACTTGATTGATACGTTTATTATTTATATATATGTGGGCTTTTTCTTTATCATACTTCTTTTTTGGTCCAGAAAAATAATAAAACTTGTCTTCTTTATATTAAGGGATAACTTATTCGCCTTGAACCATTGACTGACCTTTTCTAATTCTGCATTTACCGTTGTCAATAGAGTATCAAAATTACTGTGTGACATAAATAAGTTTGTATCATCTGCGAACAACAAAGTAAAAAATTTATCTGATACTAATGCTAAGTCATTAACATATATTAAGAATAAAAGGGGGCCTAATATGGAGCCTTGCGGAACTCCACAAGTTAAGGGTTTCTGAGAAGAATTGATGTTTCCATTTAGAGACGAATTGTTTTCTGTTACTTAAATAATCTTTCAGCCAACACAGGACGGACCCATCAAATCCATAATTTAAAAGTTTTTCATGAAGTATGTTATGATCTACCGTATCAAATGCCTTAGATAGGTCAAGGAATATACCAATGGTGTATTCATTCTTTTCAAGGGCTGCGGTGATTTTGTTGATGAGCTGCAAGAGTGCCATATATGTTGAGTGTTTTTTTCTAAATCCATACTGGTGGGTGTATAAGATATTATTAGTTTCCATGTGGCTCACTATCCGTTTATATACGATTTTTTCTAGGATTTTTGAGAAGACTGGTAATAGTGATATTGGGCGATAGTTAGTGAATACGCACGGATCCCCTGCTTTATGTAATGGAATAACCTTTGCCGACTTTAACTCAGAGGGAACCTTACCACTTTCCAAAGAAGTCTTGAATACATGTGTTACTGGATTTAAAATTTCTGTAGCGATCTGTTTTAAAAGACTGGCACTGATTTCATCTTGTCCTGGCGTTGCATTTTGTAAATTGGTGATTATGTCGTAAATTTCTGTCGATGTAGGAGCCTCAAAAGAACTTACAGGAGGATAGGATCTAGAGTCTTGGAGATATGATAAGGGTGAATGGTCAGTTATATCGATTTCTTTCGCTAAGGACGGGCCAATGTTGACAAAGAAATCATTAAGTTTTTCCACTATATCTTTAGGATCAGATATCTCTGTAATTTTGTTCATGGA